TGTTTTTTCTGCTTGTTGTATGGAAATCTACTTTTTCTTTATTAATGCTCAATTGTTTCCACGTTCCATTGGTACAGCAAGAGCAGGATACTGGTAGTTCACCTCGAGGTTAGTTCTAGGCGAATGATCTGGCTGTGTAATGTAAGTAACTTCGTAGTTTTCTGTGTTTCTGACATAATAATTTATTTTCCTTTAGAAAATCTTCCACGAAATACCTTTAAACTTTAAACAGCGGGTTGTCACCTTTAAACAACTAGCCTTCGAGTGCTTTGCTATGGTCAGTTAATCAACCAATCAACTACTTGGTGCTCGAAGCGCACTGGTGGCCAAATCTAAAGTAAATTACTTAATTAATTCTTCGTTTGTCTTCAAATAGATCGGCTGCAGGAAGTTTTCTTTGTTTTTAATCTTTTTTAATGCAAATACTACAAAGTTTTTCTTAGAAAGTCTTCCACGAAATCATTCCTTCCTGGAGGTTTAGATAGTACATCACGTACTTTGCCAGGGTGAGAGTAATTAAATAAACAAATATCAACATTCATTTTAGAATTTTTAAGCCTAGATGAAAGCATATTTAGGAGATAATATTTGAAAAAATTATTGAGAAAAATCTACTATTTACATTAAGAGTGGAGAAATAAATTTTGCTGCGTGCACTTTTAACAAAACATTAATGTCAGGACATACAAAAAGCAGAACTGGATTTAAATTTGAAAGGATAAAAATAGGGAGCAGAGAGTGAGTCATAAAACTACCAGTTAAAAAAAGAACAACGAGGAGCTGAAAAAAAGAACAAATTCCTTCCGAAAGAAATACAACGAGCATCAAAATACTAGGAAACAGGCTACTTTGTTTTGATTGATTCTGACGACCACACTAAGGAACCGTCATTGGTAACAGCATATAAATGAAAATCTATCATCTTTTACTTCCTATCTTGGAATTCTGCGTTTTATGCAGTTTTTTACACGTTAAAACTAGATTTTCTTAAGTTTTTGGAAAACAGGAAGTTATTTTAAAGAATTAGAAAAAGGTATATTTAAGAAAAGAGGAATGACACTACTAGGAAGAAGCTACTAGGCTGTTTTCCACTTATCCAAAATATATAAATAAAATAAAATAAACTACAAATAAACTAAAGTAGCACATAGAAAGAACGGAATATGTCATTTTTTCGAAAAAGAAATCGCATTTTCGGCAATAATCTTGAATTAGAAGATCTAAGATCTTCTAGTTCAAAGATCTAAAGTCCTAAGATACTTTGCAGGATCTAAGGTTCTAAGCTCCTAAGCTTCGTTAGACCTAAGGTCTTTTTCTAGTTCAAAGACTTAAAGTCCTAGTGTCCTTCACAAGACCTAAGGTTTTCTTCTAGTTCAAAGACCAGAGGTCCTAAGCTCCTTCTTAAGATATAGGGTCTTCTTCTGGTTCAAAGACCTAATGTCCTAAGTTCCTTCTTAGGATATAAGGTTTCTTCTAGTTCAAAGACCTAAGGTCCTAAAGTGCTTCTTGAGACCTGAGGTCTTCTTTTAGTTCAAAAACCTAAAGTCCTTCCTAAGACCTAAGGTTGTAGAGACATTAGATATTTTTGAAAGCAGGCAAGATGAAAACTGAGCAAACGCCTTCGCTGGGAACCGAACCACGGACCTCTGGAATATCAGTCCAGCGTGCAAACCATTACACCACGAAGGAAGGCGGCAGGAATATCTTATATATTCCCCCTTTGAAAGGACGACTGTGGTTTTTAGGGGACCCAATAGCCAAATCCTGGGTGAGGAGAATTATCATCGAACACCTTTTCAGTTCGGGCGCCACTGTAGAGACATTAGGTATTTTTTGGAAGCAAGAGAGATTGAAAAATTAGCAAAGCCTTGGCTGGGAATCGAACCGCGGACCTTTGGAATACCGGCCCAGCGTGCAAACCACTGCACCACGAAGGCACGCTAGGAAGGCTGGGAAAAATGCCTTATAAGGTCTTCTAGTTCAAAGACTTGTTGTGATTGTTGTGTGTGACCGTCCTATCCGAAGACGCATTCAGTTGCATTGTTTGACTCAGATTTCCGTGCACAGAGCATCAAAATTAGAGATGTGTTAAGTATCTGTTAAGTAAAAGTAAAAAAGTACATATAAAGATGAGTCTTTTCTATATATTCTATTATGGCAAAGCAGTTGAGGTAAATCTGCTTAAGGGACCGCATGGCTCCTTCTCATATGACTTTTAAACAATGCTAATGACACAAGTACTTACGTACCGCTTCACAGAATAAAAGTTTTAAATTCTGCACACCGATACTTTTAATAATCAGTAAAAGTAAACGGAGGGCTTAAACCTTCTTTCGTTGATACATCGCAGTTCTTTCTCTGCTTCTGTCATCTTCAATCTGCTGCACTTTTCTTCTTCAAATATTAAAAATATTTATAAAAAAAAAAAAAAAAAAAATCTGAAATGTTTCAGATTTTAAATTACGTCCAAAGGGGCGTTTTTTAACATTTTGTGTGTTACCTTTCTTTATTAATATCATGTTCCTCGCACTTAAACCATAAGATCCAGTGCAACAGCAATATCGCAAAATAGTTTTAAAACGAGCATATCTTTAGAATTTCCGATACAGAGACTCACGCGCTGGAGATAAAAATGTTTTTTCTGCACAACGTTGCCATTGCTCGCTTTGAAATCCTTGAATTTGTTAATCAAAAATTCGTCAAAGTTTTAAAAAATAGGAAATCGATCATAAAACAAATTTCAAATTTCAAATTTGGTCTTCCACATGCTCATATTCGTTGGAGGATTACGTTATTCAAAATTCGATGACTCTATGTACCGTTGTTTTATCACAATACGAGAAATATACATACATTTATGCAGATTTTTCATTATTTAATTTCTTCAAATATAATGCAGGACTCTAACATTTTGTGGCAACAGTTTGAAAAGTGAACCGACATTTATGAGTCCGACGCAAAATGCCAAAACGAAACTAATAGTTCTTCGGGATTCAAATCCCTTTGGACTAAAAATTATTTAAGAATATGTGCATCTAGGACAGTTTAATAGCGTTCTCATCAAAAATATTCATAATGTATTTATTTGGTATTATCCCATTGACCTTGAAACTTATCTCTCCCTGAGTCAGACAACCTTCGAGTACTTGGCCATCTCTACATATAATAAAAGAAAGAGTCTGTCTGTGTGTCAGTGTGTGTGTCTTTCGTTCGCGCTTGCGCGTAAGCTAATAGACCCACGGCTACGAAATTTGGTACATAGGTGCATCTAGACAAGAGCCAGTGCATTTCGAAGTGATTTTTTTTGAAATTCGAATTAGAATTTGTTTTATTTTATGTTTTGTGAAGAAATCGCGTCATTTTGAGACATAATGGGCTATAGGAAAGCGAGATTTTACTCTATACACTCCATTTTCACATCGTCATGAAACGTAGGTACTTAGCTATTTTACGAACTTAAAATAAATTTCGTGTTTCAATAAATCGTTTAAATACGAATTTATTTAACAAAGGGAGCTTAATACCTTTTCAACGAGATTTTGCTAAAAAGTTTATGTTTAAAAATGTACAGTTTATTTTTCTTCGATTTTTGGACACGTTAAACTTTCATCCTTGCGACTGCTTTTGCAAAAAGAATTTTGGAAAAAATGATAATATTTTGTATTTTTAAAATTTTTTTTAAATGAAGCTTCCGAGTACACTTCTCACATCTTTAAAAATGTGATTTTGGCTGCAATTTTCCTTTCTTATTGTTGTTGATAGATTTTTGATGAAATCGCATCATTTTGAATAGTTTCATTCTTTTAGAAATATGGGTTTGGCAAGAATTTTTCATGGTATTTCTTATGTCACTGTTTTTAAGAGATTGGCATATTTCATTGTCATTTATCTAATACATTTCATACGGATCTAATACATTTCTATTGATTTTTTTTGGTAAAGTTGTTCTGCTGAGTAAAATTCTGCGCGGAATTTTTTCTTTTTTGAGTTCATTTCATGTTATTTTTTGCTTATTTCACTGTTTGTAAGATATTGAAAAGCTTTGCATGATTTTTTTTCTTCAACGGAAAGTTGGTTATTTTTTTTATTAGGATAATTAATATTTGTATTAAGGGATATTGCTTATTTCATTGTAATTTTTTTCTCTTGAAAATATAAGATAAAATATCATTAATTATACTTTGCTTTTCAGAATTTTTTTGTTATTCTTTTATGTTATTTATTGCTCATTTCACTGTCTTTAAGATATTGAAATGTTTTGAGTGATTTTTTTAGGAAATAAAGTTCTTAACCTCCGTTTATACCATTTGAGTTCTTAAGATTTTGCAAAGGGAAGTTGGTTAATTTATTTATTAGGATAATTAATACTTGTATTGAGGGATATTGCTTATTTCATTGTAATTTTGTTATACGCAATAACTTTTTTTTTTTTTTGAAGTTGCTCTGGAGAGTAAAATTCTACGCAGTTTTTAAATTTAACGTTTGGTGTTCCCTTCAGCCATTTTTCCGGTACATTTAAAAGCCAGACGAAGGCTGGCAGCGAAGCTGCTAGTAATTAAATAAACCGAAGCCTCTATGATAATAATTTTTCCCAGTGTTAATTGTTTCGAAATTTTCATTGTCAGTTTTTCCCTTGAGATTCACTTTATGCTTTTTTCCTGAATTTCTCTCAAAATCTTTATGATATTTTACTCTAGACGGAATTGAGTATGCCATAGATAAATTCACGCATATCGCAGAATCGCAGATGACAGACGTTTAACAAAGTATTTGATCAGAATTGTGAAATAAATAACCACCATAACCAGTCTATTGGTATCCCAAGTGTGGTGCTTCATTCCATTAGGAATGAGTTTTAATCTGGCCATTAAACTCCTGCTTGACCATAAACATCCATTAAAATTTCGGTCAGTGGAACAAACATACGGATAAAGCCGGGATATATTTGTATGCGTAGAACTCAGTAGTTTTTGTATAGATAAATTATGTTTCTTTTTCAGGTGGTGGATGAGAATGGTACAGTAAAAGCGTGGGTAGACACCTTAGTAGTGAGAGAAGGGCAGTGGACAACATTTCTTAGGAAATCGGACAACGCCCAGGCTCGGAATGTTAGCCCAATATTCTTCGGAGGACAGGTAAGCCTATCTCCTTTTATTCGAACAATAATCTTTCATGCGCTTTTATTTCCGTAGTTTTATTGGAGGGTGAATGAGCTTGTTTTGATATACCAAGCGAGAGATTTATATTTATTACTGGCAATAGAGCTGCATAAATGATTCAAATTAATCTGAACATGACCAGAGCAATATCTGAGTCGTAGTATATAGTATATTATGGTACATTCCGCACACACACAATGCACAAAAAAGAACAGGTTCTATAAGTCACGTTCTGCTGGGCCAATTGACGAAATTTAATTTGCTTTTTTCATGTCTCGAAAGCGCGGTATAGGATTTATAATAGCTTTGTTCTAACGTAGGTATTATGATGGCAAAATCGGACTTTTTCTGAAATGACATACTGATTTTTCCCATGTTTCTTTTCTACGACTCAAATTACGCTGAAATATTAAATTTTGCAAAATTTGGTGAGAAACTTACCGAGAAATTTAATAATTAATTTTGGTACACATTTTTGAATTTGCGCCAAGAATAATTCGCTTCGCGTAATTCTTAATTTATGGTAACCTATTTTACTTTCATTTTCGTTTCGCACGAGCAGAAAAAAAAAGTACACCGTTCATTCTTTCAATTTAACAAAGTGCATAAATCACATTTGGCGTATTATCAAATAAAAAATATGTTAGATATGTTTTAGAACAAATATATCAGATTTCAGAACGCGCCTATATATAAGTTCGCGTATATCTTGGGAAATTTTGAATACAAAACTCTTAATGTTTTGCAGGTATGTCTAGAAATACATCTACTTTAGGCGATGGTAAACATTTTATAAGCTATAATTCAAATAAAAAATACTAATTTTGGAAATTTGCGAATTTTATTCGGATTGAACTTAAGTTTCGAATTGTGAAAGAAGATATAAAGTCAGTTTAATAAAAATAGAGATATTAATAAATATATACCGAATTCAATTAACACTGAGGAAACTGAAATTTGAGAAATGGTCTTTTAAAAACTTGTGCGACTTTAACCTTTTGCGGCACAGTGTGTCCGGTCTCGACATACCTAAAAATTTCCTTCTGTACGCACAGAAAAATTGAATGAAAAAGGATTTATAGGTTACTCTGAACCTTCTTTATTTATAGTAGATGGCAGCTCAACACAAACCAATTCATATATTTTAGCCACGTTTAGTTTTTTAAGATCCTCATTTTTCAAAGAAATCTTTCCAGAATTTTTTTTTAGAGTATAAAAGGAATTGTTTGAAAACAAATTTCTATGTTATGTTTGTTGGCTGTATGCTAATCTCCTTATTCTATATTAGTTTTAAATTCAGAAACTTTTACCTTGAAATCTTGCCTAAAATCAAACGGCGAACCGTAGGTGTGCCCAGACTGGGCTCACCGATAATCTTAGGACCACTGAGAGCCTCTGTATTATTTGTTTCCTCCGCATCTCATCGGTCAGTTCATTGACAACAATGCTCGTTTCACCACTCTTTTCGAAGCTCAGTTCAATGAGTGTGCCCGCTTTGGGCACATCCACAGAATTAAAACGATAAGTGCTATCTTCACAAAATTTTACTTGTGTACTCGTCTAACTGCCTACTTTATTTATTTATTTATTTTTTTTTTATCTAAACTCCAACTTTAAAAGGTATCGTGCCGAAAAGGGTTAAAAGAACTTGGCGCTTTGGCATAACTACAGATAAAACCCAATTTTCTGTCAAAATAGATATGCTAGAACAATGCTATGTATAAATCTTATATATATATCCTAAGTCGTGCTTTCAAGACATGAAAAACGCAAGTTAAATTTTGTCAATCGGCTCAGTAGATCGGAAGATATAGAATTGTGGTTCTTTTTGTGTATGAGTGTGCAGAGCTTAGAGAGACTTTTAAACACTGATTCTTTTATTTCAGTTTTCAAATGCTTAAGAATTTATTTACAGTAAGACCCCGCTTAACGCTGTTTCGTTTAGCGCTGTTTCGGTTTAGCGCTCTTTTATTTCCCCGGGGATTCCACGAAATCGCTCGCAGCATACGGGGATTCCCCGAAATATAATGCAGCGATAGGTTTCAAATACATATCCGAAAGAGTGTACTTGTATTTCTTGTTTGGTGCGGTATTGTACAGACATATTTTGAAGGGGTAAACGTGGAAGATGTCGAAGAAGTAATTCAAGAAGCAGCGGCTAGTCTTTCTAATGATGAGCTCAAGGAATTAACTGAACAAGAAGAAAACAAAAATGTTGACAGCAGTGATTCAGAAGAAGAGCAAAAAGAACTTTCGATGGCGTTTGTAAAAAGGAGTTTGTCTACCATAACTGAAATAATGGATCAATTCATTGAAAATGATCCGAATTTTGACAGGAGCTCAAAAGCAAGGCGTGGTGTTAGAGATGCTCTATCCGTTTATGAAGAACTTTTAAGAGAACAACGCAAAAGAAAAAGGCAAACAACATTAGATGCTTTTGTCACAAAAAGGCAGAACACTGAAAACGCGGAAGGCTAACTAAATATGACTGAGAATTTTTATTTTTTTTTTTTTTTAAGAATATTCGTTTTGTTATTTATATTTTGTTTTTATTTTTGCAAGAAATAATAATGTGGTATTAATTTGGGCTTTAAGAAATAAAAGTTTGGTTTTATTTTTATTAAAAAAACATACTTTTTAAATTTAATACCTAACCGATTTCCTAGCCATCTTCCCCTAACCCCAATATTTACATGTAAAGATAGCCTCGTTTAGCGCTGTTTCGCATTACGCTCTACTTTGATGGAACGTATACCCCGCGTTAAGCGGGGTCTTACTGTATTTATTATTATTTTTTTGCTTTTACTTAATTTTAGCTTTCATATATGCTAATCGTTTCCTTCTGCAACTTATTTCTAAAAGTGTTTTGAGATTTATTTAAGTTAATCCATTTAAAATTTTTTTTGAAAACTCATGAAGCGTAGCGAAAAAATTATTCATTAGATTAGACCCCATTTATTTATTATTCATTAGTATTCGTAATTTAATACTTATCAATAATCTTCAATCGCTTCATTCAAGCATTAAACAGATTCATTAAATGTGTGACACTTGAAAAATACGAACGGCTAGGTTCGGTTTTAAAATAAAAATCTGATGAAATCTTTCACTGCCTTCAGTTTTTAAAAAATGGCGCAATTCAATAACAAACTGCTAGAATGAAAGAAAACAATAGAATAAAAATAATATAGTAAAAAATTTCGTTTATAGTATTAAATATAGAATTGCTATTCTATATTTAATTACGTGAAATTATTAATGTCGGGAATATGAATAGCATTTGCAGTGATTCGAAAATTTTAAATTAAAATTGGAAGTCAAATTGCATACAAGTTACAAAACAATGCAGTATTTAGTTCATTCCATTCCATTGTCCATAATCAACACGGTATTAATTTAAATTATAGATTTGTGTAAAAAGAGAATTAACGAATTAAATCCCAGAATCAAAAAATCATTCGGAAACGTCACACCCATCCAAACAGCCTTCTTTGGCGCATTCTGTGAGTGCTTTACATAATAACTTTCCGCCGCCTACCTTGGCTGTACGCAAACGATTTTAGTTACGAAACAATCATATCCAACAATGGAAGCCATTTTGGTTGCGTCATCAACAATGGTGCCCTTAATCGCTGCTTGAAGATGGATGGAAATATAAGTAATGCAAATAAAATAAAACTGAAAGCTTTTTATTCTAGTAATATTTTGCAAAGAGTTATTTCCGATTTGTGTGTTCTTCATCGGTTTGACACTTCAAGATATAATGGTGACGTTAAAAATTAAGTATATGTGTGTGTTACATGCATACATTAAAACAAATTTCCAGCAGTTTTATGCTTTACCTCAGTATAGATTACGCAATAATTCTTAAATAAAAAAAAATCTGATGTGTACACCACATGACTTCCTTGTATTGGAATATTAAATTATACGCATTTTTTCTTGCATTTTGTTTAAACTTATTGGATTTAATTAAATCTACTTCGCCGACAGAGCATAAACCACAATAGAATAAATGCATTCTTTAAAATTCGCTCTAGTATTTGTTTACCATAGCGACACTCTGGCGCTAGATTCATTTAACAGTATTAATAATTATATAACAGTTAACTTACATAATAATTATATAACGGAAACTAAGTTAACTGTTATATAATCCAATAATTATATAACAGTTAACGTACATATTTCGTTCATGTTATAACTCATAATGCACAAAATTTATATCATTTAAAGAATAGAATTATCTAATCGTTGCCACATGTTCTATTCAAACACTATAATAAAGCTAGAATGATGTAAAAAAGAAATTAAGCAAACAAAACAAAAAAGAAACAGTTTTTCACAGACGATTGAGTATTTCTCATTCAATTAATTCACTTCTCACTTCGCGAGAAGGCAAAAATACATAAAAACTCAAAATATCTATATTAAAAATTACGAAGTAAATTTCAAGCGCTTATTTCCTCGAAAAAATTCCAGAAAGGATTAAGCATGATTTAATTGGCAATAATAAATGAAGGCGTTATCTTTGTTGTTGCGAAGCTAAGTTTCTCTAGATTGGCAACAAATCCACTAGTCTCCTGTTTCAAATGTAAACATCAATGGCCGCCATTAGAAACAGGCTTAGCGGCAATTAAACAACTTTAAAATTGCTGATAATTCTAAAAATATTGCACACGGACTTACTAAAGGCATAAAATCCTTAACCGGAAGATAAAAACAACATAATTCAATCATTTTTAAAGCAAAAAATGTACAATTTACAAACATATAAGAGTAAAGAAACTGAGATCACTGAGCCGGGTAACAGAGTGGATATATATATATATATATATATATATATTTATAGACGTTTGGGGCGGCCGATTACAACCAAAATACGAGGTGCACATCTACATGTTATAGCAGTCCTATATACAAAATTTCAACGTTCTGAGGCTACTCGTTTTTGAGTTATGTGAGATACGTACATA